TAACCCTTAATCCCAATTCTCTAAAATAATCTAATTTCATTAATTTAAATATGAAGTTACTATTATATTACATTAGACCGTAAAATACCAATCCTTTCGTGAGGATCGTGTCCTCTAGATAATGGGGTCACAAGCAAGCCTATATTACCTCAAAATGTTTAATTTGAGTTAAATATGTCACCGTTTTAGGTCATAATATGAACAAAACATTTTTTTAATTTGTGTTTTAAAGGGCAAAAAGGGTTTATTGATTTTTTTATTATTATTATTATTATTTTTTTTTTGACTAGGTAGATAGTTAGAAAGTTAGTAGAGTTAGTTTGTTAGCAGCTGGAATTTTTTCAAGAAAGTGAAACTTCTACCCCTCATTTGAGGCGCGCGACCATTAGGTCGCAAGTTGGTGGAGTTCACGGTGGTGGCAGAACTCAAAACCCTGACCTCCGCCTCACCCAAGCCCTAAAGTTTGGGGACCAACCAATTGAGCCACAAGTCCGTTGGTGATTATATTTTTTTATTAATTTGAATGAAAAACTAAAAATAAAATTTATTTTTAATATGAATGTAACATATGTATGATTATAGTTAAGAGATCAGTAAAATTAAAATTAATTTTTTATAATAATTAATAAAAAAATACAATTATTGTACTATTAATTTGTGTTGTCAAGGATATAGGTTAAAAAAATTCAGACTCCTCACGAGAAAGATAATAATTTTTTTTTAAATTTTATCTTCAGAATAAGGATTTGAGGATAATTTATATTTTACCTACACTACCCTTTAAAAAATAGAAATAATGAGATTTTTTTTTGATAGGATGGATAATTAATATTAAAAGATAATGATAAGTTTAAAGTGAGAATAAAATATTTATTTTCCTTAAAATATAAAGAGATAACTACTCTCTTTGATTTAATTTAATTGTTTCACTTTCTAAATCAGGCTGATTTAATTTAATTATCCCATTTTCCATTTTAATACTCCATTTGTTCAATTTTAATATATCTAGTTTTTTTTTGAGAAAAGTGCATATTAATTGTGACTCCAAAAAAACTAAAATCTTAATTTTAAACAATTTTATTTTATTTAATTAAAATTCAATTTAAAATTTAAAAATTTACATTATTAAATATTGATATTTATATTTAGAAACTAA